CTGGAAAAACTGGATAGCCATAGACAAATTAGACAAAACTTTATATCTCGTACAAATATTAACCAAGAACAGCTCGTAGACTTAAATGTAAGCTATAAAACTAAATGTATAAGTTAACAACAAAGAAGATAGTTTCAAGAGGTTCTGGTGAACTTTTTAGACATAGCACTAAGTATATGATTTAAAAAAAAAAAGACAGATTGTACAAGCTGCAAGAAAGAACTTACCAACCATGTTATCTTTTAAAACACTAGTATCTCGAATAAAAACATTTTAAAAATCAAAAACAAATAACTCTAATTATAAAGGACACAAAAGACTTGGATAGTCATGAAAGAAAAGATTTAAGTAAATAGATAAGCACGTGAAGAGATATTTGGTATCATTAGCCAGAAAAAAAAGAGATGTAAATTATGACCAAGATGAGACAGCGCCACACATTTAATTATTAGAACAGCTAGAGAATGCAAAACAGCGCTGCTGAGGGTACCAGGAAACTAGAACCTCACATGCCACGAATACAGCCACTCTGGAAAACTGTTAAGCAGCTCCTTAGAAAATGAAACACTCATTTACTATCTCATCTGGCAAGCATACTCCTGGACATATATCTTAGATATGCAGAAGCCTCCACTGATACAAAAACTTATACAGAAATGTTGACAGTAGCTTTATTTATAATAGTCATAAACTGGAAAATAACTAAATGTCCTTCAAGGTATGAATGAATAGTTAAACAAACCCTGATACATTCATGTCATGGAATATTCTCCAGAAATAAAAGGAACAAACTATTGACATATACAAAGGCCTGTGTGGATCTCCAAAGCATTATGTTGAATAGAAGAGAAAGCAAACCTCAAAAGATCATATGCTATATGATTTGAGCTCCTTAATTATCAAAATGACAAAATTATAAAGTTGGAGAAGAAATTCGAAGCTGCTAGAATAAGAGATTGGTAGGAGGTGAGTGTGACAAATGATGGAGCTAAGAACATCTTTATGTTGGAACAGTTCTTTTCCTTGAACATAGCGGTGCACATAAAAAAAACCTATATGTAATAAAATAGTATAGAACCACACACATAAACTCATTTCAGTTCCTGGCTGTGATACTATACAATTATGCAAGATGAAAGCACAGGGAAACATGCATAATGTATACTCTGAATGCTCAGTACTATAACTATTTCAGAATAAAAATTATGCTGCATAGCTTTTATGCTCTGAAATATTCCGGCTCACATATCAAAGACATGTCAGAGGGTTTCTCCAAATTGGACAATTCAAAAAATTCGCATGACATTACTAATGAAGAACAGGGAAACTGAACCTTTTCTAAAATACTAACAATAGCAAATTTGCAACACCCATGTTCCAAAGACAGATCCTTTATTTCTCTATGTTATTTATGGATAATATTACAAAATCACATGGTGAAGGGACCAAAAAGTAGACATAGAAAAGCAGAAAAGCAGCTGGGCGTTGGTGGTGCACGCCTTTAATCCCAGCACTCGGGAGGCAGAGGCAGGCGGATCTCTGTGAGTTCGAGGCCAGGCTGAACCGACAGCCTCCAAAACAATACAAAAAAACCCTGTCTCATAAAACAAAAAAAAAAGAAAGAAAGAAAGAAAAGAAAAGCAGTATTACAAGAACTGTTGGTTTTCTGTTCAACAGAGCTGTTAGCTTCTTAGCAGCTCCAGCCTCGTTGAGCCATCACATGCTTCTCAGAAAGCTGCCCACATATCAGCTCTGGGGAGAACTGTTTTAAAGGCCCACTTTCTGTAAAGGTCATGAGGAAGTGCAAAAGAGTCAACTCTCTAGTCTCAGAGAAAAATAATTTGGTTCTGTTTGTACCAAATATGCTTTAGGTTTCGAAAAGAGAAAAGGACTTGTAAAATAGAATGAAAATGCACATGATTTAATCTGACCCTGAACAGACAGGGGGCTGGGTGACCAGACAATTCCTTAGGGGTCTGGAACTTTTATACAGTTTAGGGAGCTGCTTTAAATTACTCATGCAAAATCAAACATAAGTATGAATAGTTTCTGAACACATAAAAGTGAGTTCTATAAATAGGATGACAAATAAATGAGGATACTTCCAAGTTTTCAGAAACTCCTGATAAGTTTTCAAAAGCCCATGATAAATACAAACTTTTGTCCATTAGCTGTGTGATAAGCAGCAGTCCTTGCTCGCGGCATCCTCTTCTGATTCCCTATGCCCAGGGGTAATGCCCTCTTTGCTCTGTGTGCTCAGTTGACCCCCACATGTACAAGTCCTATGTGTGGGAATCCAATCAATCCCACAGTAAGCATACGCCTCCCCAAATCGCTTCTGCAATGAGAATGCAGACCTTTTTTTCTTGTCGTGATTCCACAAACAATATGGCACCACAGTTGTTTACATAACATTTACATTGTAGAAGTACCAAAGGATTTTAGAGACCATTTGAAGTACTGAGATGATGGGCATGGGTTCTGGACACACATTACCCCACTGTTATAAGAGCCTTGAGCATCTGCAGGGTTTACTACCCTACGGGGAATCCTGGAACAACATTTTCAAACAACTAATACATATCTGTGCATATATCATGGGGTTGTAAGTATTCTGTAGGTAAGGAAAGGATTAAACAGGTTAGATAATGAGGCATGTCACACTGATCCAGCACTTGCCTAACATGCTGAGGCCTTGAGTTCTATCACTAGCATCACACTTGAAAAGGCAGACAGTTTGCCTTTGTTCTTATTTACATGATGGTGGGTTACAGTTTTTAACACATCTTTGAAGTCTGTGTTCTTATGCAACTTACTACAGTTTCTAGGAATAGCAAAAAACATTGAGAGGCCTGGAACTTTGATGCATTTAGGGAGCTGCTTTAAATTACTCATATAAAATTAGGCATAAGTGTGAATGTTTTCTGAATATATAAAGTGCATTTTATGAATGAAATGAGAAAGAAATCATAATAGACTTCAAAGTTTCTAAAACCTCCTGATAAGCTAGATAGTATTCTTCAATGTTTTCAAACGCCAATGATAAATACAAATATCAAAGAGTCTGAGGAAGTTATAAAATTTTGCTTATTAGCTGTCTGACAATTCTCTATATGAGTATCTCTATCCCGAAACTCTGGCTCTGGCAGAGAGTAACTTCACAGGCCACTGAGTGCAAACTCTCAGTTGTATACAGGATCAAGCACCTGTCTTATCCCCATCTGATGGCTCAAGGTGAACACCACGTAACTAGAAGTTCTTTCTTTAGGGTTATATTCCCAAGCAGGGACTGTATTTTAATCTGACCCTTAGAATTAATGCTAGGAAGTTGAAATTCTAAACACTCCAAATTCCATGAGGAAAGCAGTCTTTAGCACAACAACCCTTCTTACAAATGGAGGGCACAGTGGGCAAGTCATAACTGGCAGTGGCCAAACCCAGGAACCCTGCCTACCATCAGTATGAAAGCCTCAGGTGGAAAAGGCTATTCTCTCAAATCCTGTTTCTCTCCTCTGAACTGTGTAGGAGCTCCAACTGTCTTTGGCATTCTATATTCTAGAGACGAGAAAACAAGCTCACGAGCAATAGAGAGGGATATACTGCCACCTTGTGGCTCTTTAGAGAGTGACTCTTCAAGCATTTACATTACCCAAAGTAATGATGAGTGGAATTCACCTTGTGCAGACATGAAACTACAGCAGGTGACCAGAGACTCTCCAGTGACACAGAATAGAGAAGCAGAGTTTAACACGTGGATGTGGAGGGCCCTGGAGGTACTCTGGCATAAGGTTTCATTTCCTCTGAGGAAAACTGGAGCTTAAAGACATGAGGGGTCAGAGATCAGTCAGTATTGGGCTGTTGGTCTCTGAACTCCTGTTCTAGCCAATGCCCTTTTGACTATACAGTGCTGTAGATCACAGTATAGAATCCCAATGTTCTTTATAAGATAAAATTCTTAAATCTGTGTAGTAATTTGAAAGTAACTGCCCCCATAAGCTCATAGGAAGTGGCAGTATTAGGAGGTGTGGCTTTGTTGGAGTGGGTATAGCCTTGTTGGAGGAAGTGTGTCACTGTGGGGGTAGATTTTGAGGTCTCATATAAGCTCAAGCCACGCCCGGTGTGCCAGAGCATGTCCTGTTGTCTGTGAGACCAAGATATAGTTCCTTCGTGCTCCCAGCTCCTTCTCCAGCACCATGTCTGCCTGCATGGCACCATGGCATGCCGTGATGAGAATAGACTGAACTGAAACTGTACGTGAGCCAACTAAATGTTTTCCTTAATAAGAGTTGCCATGGTCACGATGTCTCTTCATAGCAACAGAAACCCAAAGACAGTCTGGGTGTGGGGACACATGCTTGCAGTTCCAATGCTTAGGAAGTAGAGGCAGGAGGATCAAGGAAAAATTGAAACTCAAAGCCAGGTCAATATCCCTCTGTCCTGACAAAGCACAGACCACACACAGAAGATGTCATGGGGCTATAACAGATGATGGTTACATAGAAAATACCATCTCTTTTTTGCACAGAAGCAAGGAGAGGCATGGCATACAAATTCCTAAAAAAGTGAAACTCTACTTGCCGCCTTTGATTTCTGGATAAGGAGCTTCTTCTTCTGGGCCCAGCTTTCATCACAAAGAACAGGAAATATCATGAGGGGTACAGGTCTGTTCCCTCTTCCTGTAGCTTTAAGACTTTGAACTTTTGTACTAAAGTCACTGCCCTAATAAGAGCCAGCTCATCTTAGTTTCCTGTGTATAGTGATAATTTTATTTCAAATTGCTTTTTTTAATCCAATGACACTTTTTTATCCTGAAAAATCTCAATACCTCAAATTTGAATTTAAAAAGTATAAAATACACCCCACACACACAAACGCACACACACATTGCTTAACCCAAGGAATGAGAGCCTTTCACAAGCACAGCCTGCACGGCACATTGAGCATTCTCAAGCACCGTGACAATTACATTTAGACACAAAACTGACTTGTTCCAAACTGACCTTATATTGAGCCATGACAACATGGGCGTCGTGCCTCCACCAATGACCCAGACAGTGAAGAAGACGATGAGTAGTGTGGTTGTGAACATCATCTGGCGGGCGTAGGATGCCGTGTCACGGATGGCAAGTGCAAATGCCATCGCTCCCCTCAGGCCTGTGGGGACCAAACAGGAAGATCCTCTGGTGATGAGGGGACCTGATGACAATTCCTCCAAATGCACTGCCACTGTGGGGATAACAAAGCTCTAGCCACATGCTTAACCCACACAGAAGCACCTCAAAGGTGTGTGGTCTTCTCTCTCCCCAGCATGAGAAGAAAAACCCAGCACCACTTTATATACCATATTCTAGAATACTAACTACTTTTACTATTTAAATTATTCTCCTGTTAGTGGCCTAAAAGAAAAAGAAACTTGCATAATAACAAACTCTCTGTATCTTCTATGTAAATACCAGTCAACAGAAATGTTGGCTGTGTGTAAATATGTTTAAATGCACACTTGTGGAAAACAGGGCACTATTTCTTAGCAGAGGGGGAGGGTACCTCACAGAAGAGTAAAAAGATAGGTTGACCTGTAACACGTTTTTGAGACAGGATCTTATTTAGCCCAGGCTGGCCTCAAACTCAATACGCACCCAAGCATGGCCTTACTGATCCTTCTGCCTCCCACTTCCTAGCCTGTAATTACATATGTGCTATCAAGCCCGGTTGATTATATTTTAGTCATATTATCATTGTTTGCTAAGTAAAATTTATTTTCTTTATATATAAATCTATTTTACCTGAAAACATCATCATGTGTTGGAAATTCCAGCCAATCTTATGCCTTCTGCCCAAGTTGAGGAAGAAGGAGAGTGGGTAGATATGTGCAGCTCTGCCCAAGAAAATGGCAACCTAGCCACCAGGTGAGGTTAAGGAGCCAACAAGTTTCCAGAATGACACTTCACAACACTCTGGTTGACCAAAGAATTTTAGGAATGCTGTGATGCAGGCAGCTGCCCAAAGAAGTCAGAATGCCTAGATTCCCCGTAGAACAATCTCTCAGCAACAAAATGGGAGTCACTTGGTCAACTTTCCCACTTCTTAGTTCATTAATTAAAGCTTATAAACACGTTGTAACTTTTGAACTGAATTGAACTGGTATTGATGGATTCCTTGATTTGTCTAAAAAAAATCACTCCAGAAGTAATCTAAAATACCATAGCAAGAGTGAGGACTGGGCACGGCACACACTATTTGGGCTCTACTGGAAGGAAAACAACAAGAAAGAAAAATAATCCTAGAGTCAAACTGTGGAAAGTTTGCTGGGAAAGAGCCAGCAAGCTTCATTTGCAAAAATAAATGAATAAATAAATAAATGAAACAAAAACCAAATCAAAAAAAACACACACACATAATGGACTTCAGTGCCCAATGCCCAGGGAGCACCCAAATATAGGGAGAAAACCACAAAGAGACATTCACTCACAGAAGTGAAGTCAGAGAAAGTCTTTGCCTACGTAGCTTAAATGGCCGTTGGGGATGTAAGAAGCAGAAAAGGATGAATGTGAAAAAGGAACTCTACTGTGAAAAGCAAAGAATTCAGATAAAGCAGTCATCTTTCCCTTGCCAAGTTTAAACAGCGCCCAACAGAGAGATCAGCACAATCCCCTGGTCAGAGAAGGAAACTCAGGCAGGAGCCAGCAAACAGAGAGCTTCCGCCAAGCAAGGCACCAGCTGCAGCAGCCACAGCTGTTTCAGACAGAAACCAGGGCCAAACTATCTTCAACTTCCTCCAGGGTAATGTGTAAACTGTGTTCCTGCTTTTTTTTTGTCTTTCTTCCTTTCCTTGTTTGGTTTTGTTTCTAACAAAAGGAAATGGTTAGTGCTTGTAATGCATGCATATTCTATCTCAGAGGTGCAGGAAAAAGCCTCAAATGGCCAGCAGCCTTTCAGACTCCCAGAGGACTTGGCTCACCCAACCAACAGGTCGTGATCCGTAAACAAGGCCTTCCTCCCACTATCTCATCCAGTATGCCATGCAGGAAATACAAATCAGAGCAACATGTGAGGTCTGAATGAAGAAAATCTCATCCAACAGATTCTAAGCTCTTCCTCTAGTGAATGTGTGAAGCCACTATAGTAAGACCCTAACCAAGATTCCAGCACTGTCACTATCTAGCAGCTAAGAAGCCCCTCACATTCTTGCACATGAAATTAAAACCCCACAAGAGAAAAATACTCTTCTTAGATAAAAATGAATTAAGGATTCCCATGAGGCCTCCAAAAGGCAAGAAAAAAAAAAAACCATGTCCAGCAACAGGAACAGGATCTTGAAATCCAGGGGCAGAAAAGTTTACTTTTACTTTAAAGAAAACAATAGTATCTAAGACCAAATGAGCCAAACCCTCAGCCACCGAGTTACTGCTGGCTGCTCACATCCGTCCTTTCTAAGTCAAGCACCCAAAGTATGCCCTTTCCAAACACTGTATCCCCAACTTCCCAACTCAAAGAACTGGGAATTTTATTTTGTCTTTTCTTCTCCTTCCTCCCTCCCTCCAATCCTATCAATATTTTTATCTGTTCTTTTTGTCTCCTCTCCCCCTCCTTCCAAACCTTCCTTCCTTCTTGTCTTAGAAAAGCAAAGGTGTCTCTCCCAGCACAATCCACAGCAGCAGGGCAGCTTGGGTGAAAGCACCGTTACTGTCCACTCACACACAAGGGCAGCATGGGGTATGGCTAGCCAAGATGGACTGTGCAGCTGAGAGCAAGAGGATTGGAACTTGCTAAGCACTAAAATCATGTTACATTGACATGGCAGTGGCAAGTCAAAAACAATTCTGAGGACTGACATGGTTATTGACTTTTAGATCTACTCAGGATAGAGCTCTACAAAACAAATGATAGTCCATCAAGCACTAACTTAAAAAAGAAAATTCCAGGGAAAAGTCGGTCCTTGGAATCAAATACATTCTGCTTTAAGAAGCTCCCCACAAATATCCTGAACCACAACTGACCCAGTTACCCACTCAAAACAGAGACAGTAATCAGATGATTATTCTTAGTGGTTATACAACTTTCCCAACAGAGGTCACCTCTCTGTCTACAATGTGGAATAAGAAAAGGATACAAAAGCACCAATGATGAAAATGGGGCTGAAAACATGCTTCTGGAAGGTGAACAGTGCCAGGCCCATGTAGGAGAAGATGAAGTTCTCTGCCAGAAAGTGTAACACCTCGAAAAGCTGCATGAAGAAGGAAAGAGCAGGCTGTGAACCCTGTGCTCCTGCTGCCATGCTACCTAGAAACCCATCAGGTTCATGGGCCTCTCTTACCTGCTTGCTTCGACTTCTTGATTCCACTGACAGATTGTTATATGTATAATGAGCTTGTGTAATCCCACAGAAAAGGACAGCTACAACACCTGTCAAAAGAGTTTCTAAAATTCAGTGGGAAAGAAGAGGCAGGAAAAAAAAGTCTACTGACATGGAAAATGTATGGCAGGTGAGCCTTGCATAATCCCCTCCCTCACCCTTCCTTCCCTCCCCTCCCTCCCCCTCCCTCCCCTTCCTCTCTCCCTCCCTCCTTCCCTCTCACAGGCCCTGCTGAACCGGGCATTAACCTACCTGTAAATCCACAGGCTTCAGCCAAAAGAAACGTGCTCCAGGACATCAGGAAGAAAAGCGCTGTCTCCAGCAGGGGGAAGCAGTGCAGCTTAGTAAACTTGGTCACGTCAGCACTAGGTTAAGGACAGCAGCTCTAGGCATGGGCAGCAGGGACACTTGAGATCCCCATTCTTTTAGCCTGAGCCCCCTCTCTAAGGGCCAGTCATTCCCTGTACCTCCTTGGGAGGTGTTTTATCTCTCTTTTGAAAAGTTATAGTGTTGGGATGGAGCTTAAGAGCCCTGAACATGCTAGGCTGATATTCTACCATTCTGCCACACATCCCTAACCAGGCATGCTTTATTGTTTTTTATTTTTTTAGACAGGATTTCTTTATGTATTGGCTGGCATGGAACTCACTGTGTAGATCAGGCAGGAACTCACAGAGATCCACTGGCTTCTACCTCCCAAGTGCTGGGACTAAAGGTATACACTACTATTACCACACACAGCTCAATTTTCTTTCTTTTTTAAAATTAATTTTTTATTTTATGTACATTAGTGTTCTGCCTGCATGTACGCCTGTGTGAGGGTGGCAGGTACCCTGGAAATGGGATTATAGACAGTTGTGAGCTGCCATGTGGGTGTTGAGAATTGAACCTGGGTCCTCTGAAGAGCAGCCAGTGTTCTTAACCACTGAGCTACCAGCCCTGAGCTCAATTTTCAAGTAACAAAAATAGAAAAATTAAGCTTTCCAGGGGCTGGTGGATGGTCGCTAAATGGTAAGCATTTGCCTAACATGTTTGCGAGTCCTGGGTTTGATTACCCCACCACCACCACCCCACAAAATAAAAGAAACTTTACCATCTAATCCAGGTTACCAGAGTCAGAGCTGGAGGGTAGAGTTGTTCAATAGACACAGTGTGTCTGCCTAAGATGAGGAATAGCATTCTGCGAATAGGCAGTAGGAATGGATAATCTACACTGTGAATATATTTAATAACTTAAAATGGTGTGTGTGTGTGAGAGAGAGAGAGAGACAGAGACAGAGACAGAGACAGAGACAGAGATATACACGTGCCTGCTAAGCAAGCATATGAAGATCAGAGGACAACTTATAGGGAGTAGTTTTCTTCTAGCTTTGTGGCAAAGCCCTTAGCTGCTGAGCTGTCTTGTTGCCTCCTGTACTTACTAACTTTAAATTGTGTACTAAGGCAAATTTTATTATGTGTTACCACTGTTTTAAAAATTATAACACAAGTAATGCAAAGCAATTGAATTGCATGCTCTAAATGTATGAATTTTATAGTACATGAATTGCTATGACTCTTATGAACAACTTTCTGGCTGCAGACTGGACTGAGGTTAGTTCCCATAAGGCTGGGAAGGCCTTAGGCAGGCATGGGAAGACATACTCTTAAGGCTCTGATCCCCATGGGTCATGAAGGCCTGACCCATGTATGGGACAGAATAAAAAAGAATTCTATAACTCCTGGAACAGCAATGAAGTGCTGGGGGTCTCCTTTTGAGAACAGAGGGAATCTTCCTCCTTCCACTGCCATTCAATACATGATCAACATAGAACCAACTCACAAATCAGTTCGTTAAGCAATTAAACCCTCAGTACCAGGGCCACTAAACAAAGCTATCTTGATTTATGCTGTCTGACACAGTAGCTGCTAGCTACTTTAAGCTTCTCAACATTTAAAATGTAGTTAGCCATAGCTGAGATTTTTCAAAGAAAAAGGAGATACATATCTCAAAGACCAGAACAAAAAGCAAAAAGCAAAAAGATATCGCTAATAATTTTCTGTATTATCTATGTTGGTTACGCATAAAATAGATGTGGTTTGTATTACATTCAGTAGTAATGCCAAGCAAAGAGGGTACTATGATAGAGGATTCAGCACTAATGTAGAGAGACTGCCAGAAGCTCCTTCCAAGTCTTTTTCTTTTTGTTTATTTGAAACTAAGTATCATACCATCCTTTCCTCATGGAAGGCACAGCACAAAGTCCAGTGATGACTACCAGTGGCTCTAGGTTAGTTATGGCTGCCTTAATGCTCATTGTTCCTGAACAGCAGACAGCACCAGTAGCCAGAAGCTAAAGTGCTGCCTGACCAGTGGTTACTGATTGCAAGCCTTATCTGGGTTCCTCGGTCTCTTTGTCCCCTATAATGGGTGTTCCAACTGAGTTATAAGAAAGGGAGAGAAACAGAAAAGGTAAGGACAAAGAAAAATCTACAGCTGAATTCCCCATCTTTAAATTTTTAGCATATTTATTTTAGTATATTTATTTTATATAAATTTTTAGTATATTTTATGTTTTATTGATTTTTATTTTCTTCCTTCTTCACATTCTCTCCTGATAGAATCTGTTTTACTTATTCCTTAAGAATTCATACATGCTAACAATGTATTTTGATCATGTGTACCCCAACTCCATACATCCTACTTGAGACACCCCAACATTTCCCTGCTCCCATTTCATTACCTCTTCTTTTGTTAACTCTCAGAGTCCAATTTCCCAGGTTCTTCCTGAGAGGCCCAGTCACTGTGCCTGACCCGGCTGAGGAGGTACCACATCTCAGGAGAACAATGACTTTAAGATTCTGATCTGAGAGGAGGAACTGAGAACGTTCTCTTTGCAAACACAATATGATCTATGTGTGGCCAGGCAGGGGCCAAACTAACCAAAAGGATATTAGAGCAGTCACAACACCAGTTACAGCTCCCATGGTAAAAGAGCCACTAAATATGCCTAGAAAAATGCCAACTGACTTAAAAAAGGCAGCAGCGTCAAAAGCGTGGGTATTTAGTCCTGCTGGCTGATAGGCAACAATGGACCTGGAGTTTAAAAGGAGAGAAAGTTTTGGTTTTGTTTTTTTTTTTAAAAGACCACAATGGTTGGTACACTAAACAATCCCCACCCTCCTTCACTATTTCATTTTCCATGGTTTTAGTTGCCTGAGGTCAACATCAATCTAAAAATATTAAGCAAACAAATTCAAAATTAAACTCTAAGTTCTAAATTATATACTGTTCTCAACAGCATGATGAAATCGCAAATCATCCAGCTAGATCCTGCCCAGGGCAAATACATTTAATTTAGGCTGTAGCCACCATGCTATGCTGCCATCAGCATCCTGAATGCTGCTGAAGGACAAAGCCAGAACCATTATCCTACCTCCCCCTCCCCCACTGCAGAAAGAGTTACTTACGAGGACAGCACAATGGCAACAGCATCATTCAGGACACTCTCTCCAAACAGAAGAGCATAAAGATCCACATCTGCATGCAGTTCATTAAAGATTGCCAACACGGTCACTGAAATGTAGGCCCAAAGCACAGAAATTAGTTTCGACTTCTGCCCTTAAACCACCAGTTCCAGGTTTATAGAGGCTATTTGTATATTAGGTGGAACAAGGTGGCTTGGTACCCAGCAGTAGTCAGATGGATGGTCTGTCTGGTAAATGATAAAAGGAAAAATGATAAACTTCTAATCTAGATGAGGTTTGATGTGATCATTGGGGGGGATCAATTAAGTCATTTGTCTCTTTTTGTTGGCTGGCAAATTTTTAAAAACAGAAGTTCTTTTTTTTTTTTTTTGACCCTAGTGCTTCCAGAACCCAGCAGAGTCAGGGTGCTTAAAAAGACTGACCAAGGGTTTGTCCATGAAAAATTACCCATAATTATACTTGTTAGGGAATAAATAACTAAGAACGTGTCTCTTATGTAACCCAAGCTGTCCTAGAACTCACAATCCTCCTGCCTCAGTGCCCTGAATGTTAGGATTATAGAACATGGTTTCTCAACTTTAGCCTTACTAGTGTTTGGGACCAGATAATGGCTTTGGGGTTGGCCTGTTTACCACAAGATGGCTAGTGATATCCCTGGCACATGCAGCCAGCTTACCTTCACAGAGCAGTGGAGGCACCTAGATGCTGGCTAGGACACAAGTCATAGTATCATGCCACAGGTGGGATTCAAGATAAACATTTATTTTTGTTTAAGCTAGGGCCAACCAGGTTTTTCTAGTATTTGTAGTCAAAAGCATTACTACTTATGGAATTAGAACGCCAAGCCAAATGCTTAGTTTAGTAAGTAACTATAAGCAAGTCAATTTTCTTACCACCAACCAATTCAAGAATTTGCCAACCCCCTTCATGTGCTTTTGTGTCCCACCCCAATCTCAAGCCCCCTTCACTCAAAAACAACCACGGTGAAATTTTATAGTGACCCTTGTGTCCTTTCTTTATAGTTTAATAACCCAAATATACACTCTCTGACATTATCGTTTCACTCTGCCCATTTTAAAGAAAATGGACTTTAAAAAAATACTCCTTTTACTCTGCTAGGCTACTCCTCTGGGAGCTCTTTTCTCAGGGTGCCTTATGACTTAGTTCTTTAGGGTCAGGACTTTTCAACCCTGTGGCACACACAGCTCTTTTGTAATGACTATCACTTCCTTTTGAAGGGAGATTCTGAGAGAGGGTTTCTCTGTGTAACAGCCCTGGCTGTTCTGGAATTCATTCTGTAGACCAGGCTGGCCTCAAACTTACAGAAATCTACCTGCCTCTGTCTCCTGAGTGCTGGGATTAAAGCCATGCACCACTACTGCCTGGTCTTTATTTTTATTTTATTATTATTATTAATATTATTATGAGATAGGGCAGCACTGTACAGACCTGGCTGACCTTGAATTCATAGAAATCTACCTGCCTCTGTCTCCTCAGTGCTGGGATAAAGGTGTATGCAACACTATACTAGGTTGCCTGTCACTTTCTTAATTTACCTCAGCATCTTTTGGAATCTGAAGAAAGTTGCATCCATTGGGGAAGAGGCATATTTTCCTAGTCTGACCTCATTATTGTAGTTTTCTTATTCAAGGGGTTCATTTAATTTTTCTTTATGTTTACATGCTGTTCAACCTCAAGTTGATTGTGTTGTTATATTTAATGAAGGTGTGTCAGGGTTAGTGTGCTGGCCCCTTTTTCTGATGCAGTGTATGAATGAGAATGTCCTCCACTGGCTCATGTGGCACCCAGCTGGTGATTTGGGGGAGGTCATGGAACCTTTAGGAAGTGGAACCTTGCTGGAAGTATGTCACTGGGGCAGCAAGCTTTGAGGGTTTGCAGGCTTGTTCCACTTCTCCCCGCCCCAACTTCCTGTGTGTGCATGCAAATGTAAAAGAAAGAAAATGTGATTACCCAGCTTTCTGCTCCTGCTAACATGTCATGTATTCCCCACCATCGATAGACTATGTCACTCTAGAATCATACACTAAAATAAGCTCTGTCTTACTTATTTTATCTTCTGCTATGGAATTTTCTCAGAGCAACTACAAACAACCAATAAACCTAGCTTTGCCGGGACTATTGAATAATACCACTTCCCCAATACTTTGTGAGATTCACTTACTCCAACACTGTCCACCCCACCCCAACTAGAACTTAATCTGTCTTCCTCTTTTAATGACCTGTCAATCAAAGTCAATAGTCTCGGCAGTTCCTCTTTGGGGGATGGGTCAATTCTTCCAGGAATATCTTTTCTGGGTATTTATTTTTAAAGAATTATTGTTAGTTGGGTATAGTGTCACATGCCTTTAATTTCAGTACTGAAGAGGTAGAGGCAGGTGAATTTCTGTGGGTTATAGGTCAACCTGGTATATACAGTGAGTTTCAAGCTAGCTAAGACTACATAGTAAGGCTCTTGTCTCAAAAAATTACTATTATTGTGTGTCACACATATATGTGGAGGTTGGAAGGCAATTTTATGGAGTTAGTTCTCTCCTCCCACCTTTACAAGGATTCTAGGGTTTGAATTCAGGTTGCCAAACGTGTACAAGAGCCTTTACCCACTGCATCTTCTTGATGGTCACTTTCTGGGTATTTCTGAGAGCCCCTATAGCCCAGATCACCCGCATAGCCTCTGACCTCCTTCAGTCTCCTTGTACTCATCAGTAAATATGAACATTGAATGTCCCTCTCAATTTTAAGTTTCACCATGTAAGTTAACAATATGTATTCCCAGTGGGAGCTCTTACTTTAGTGTATAAATATTGAATGGAAATTTCTGGGTTTCATAGCAGTCAAAATGAACAGTATCTGGGGCTGGAGAGATGGCTCAGAGGTTAAGAGCACTGACTGTTCTTCCAGAGGTCCTGAGTTCAATTCCCGGAAACCACATGGTGGCTCACAACCACCTTGAATGAGATCTGGTGCCCTCTGCTGGCATGCAGGCAGAAGACTATATACACAATAAATAAATAGAATGTTAAAACAAATGAAGAGCATCCCCTCTTTCCTCTGCAGAGGTGCTACTTTTGTATTCATGCCTCACTGTTCCTGCTGGAATATGGGTTTTTTCTTTTGCTGTCTTTATTCTTGTTAGGTACTAAAGGGCATCTCAAAGTGGCAGTCCCTCCAACATGCTTTCCTTTCCAAAAAATTTTAATTGACTTACAAAAAGATAAACAGCTAATTTGAAGAATATCTGCTGTATCATGACATAAGCTAGTAGGAACAGGCTACATGCCTGCCAGCGATGCTTCTTGGAGGGTATGTTCTTAAACACGGATGCTATCTCAAGACAAAAAATCAACTTTCATTCAGCCTAATGCAACAGGTTACACAACAGGGAAATCTTTATGGATAGGATTTTTAAAGTTGTATTCTATATGACTTCTTACATGAATTATATTTATGGCTCCTTTACCATTATATAGTATAAGAATTGTCTTTTTAAAAATGCAGCTGTTGAAGAAAAATTAACACTGATAATCACAAATGCGGATGACTTACCATGAAGCAGATACCATGCTAAGCATTTTGTAATTTAATTCAGTTCTTACAAAACCCTGTGAGGAGGCTAATAATACCATTTCTCTAATTTAAAGGTAAGAAAACAAATTGTGCAATGCATGGGCTGCTCTGTACTTCAGTATTGAAATCCCCCAAATCTCAGTGATGATACAAACCAAGTTTCATTCCTCCGTTACATCATCTGCCTGCTGTGGACTGCACTGGGTGGGGCTCTGTCCACATCAGCCACATGGGGATTCAGGGCTCAAGACTGATGGAAGCAAATAAAAATGAACCGTATCCAGGCTTGGCAATGTAGGAACAGGAGATATGGGACATCAGTCTATCAGTCAGAGAGGGTCTTAGAAGGAAACAAATGGCACACCCAAACAGCAAACTAAGAAGAGCCTTATGAGGAGGTTATTTATAAAAGTGTAGGAAGAGTACAAGGGAAACAGAAGGGAGGAGTCAGTATTTGAGGCAAAAAACACGTGACTTTCATCCATAGATCTGACGGTTCAAGAGCCAGAAGTAGTTACCAGAACCTGAGGTTATAGGGCCTGGGTCCCCTGATAAGAGCCGTTAGTTACTTCTGATGAGGAGGTACGATTGGTCTGAAGGATTCCTTTACCTCCATTCTCCTTCCAGTGGGAAACCGGCAAGAAAGGAACCTTTGGCATGCTCCATATAAGTTAGCCTCTGGGGCCAAGAAAGAGGAAAGGGTGGCCGGTAAATGTGAAGGGGTAAGCAGAAGACATGCAATAACCATCAACTGTTGAAGAATTCAGCACCCAGCAGAGTCCAAAGACTGGGTGGACTGCTTACTTTCCTCATACCTATGACATGGCAAACACAGCTTAAGGAAGGAGGGGCTTATTTTGGTCCATGGTTTGATGGAATATAGTCCATCATTGCTGGGAAGCAGTGTTACCAAGAGCATGAGGTGGCTAGTCATAATTGTGTTCACAATCAGGAAGCACAGAGAGATGAATGCTGGTGTTAGCTGACTGCCTCTTTTCCCTGACTCCAGCCAACAGAGTGGCACCACCCACATCCAGGGCATGTCTCAATGCTCTCCATTAATCTACTCTGGAAGCACCCTCACAAGCATACTCAAAGGTATTCCTTATTAAGGCCCTAGTGTCTCTTAAACAAATCAGTGAGCAGTTAAAAATAACCATCATATTTGACAAAGTGGAAGATTATACTAATATAACTTTAAAAAGTCTTTTTGACTTTTAAACATGGTTTGTCTAAAATGCTATAATTACCAATAGTAAAAACAATACAATGTTAGTTGTTCATGACAATGAAAGTGTGTCTAATAGCATTAACAACAGTTACCTAGAACTGGAATGAATCTTAACTCCTCTTTGTTCCTGCTATCACCTTGTAAAGCAGGTCAGGAATTCTGTGGTGCAAGGCTCTGCCTGACCATAGTGAGGAAATATCCACAGTAGATGGGAGCATCCAAAAGAGAATGGTATGGGGATTACAGGCTGGGAAAGTTGCCTCTAAAGGAAG